CCAAAGCTTTCCCACAGGGAAAGCACTGGATTGGCTGAAATCGTCAGCACCTCAACGTAGAGATACATTAAATGAATGCATCTCTATGAGGAAAATTCAGCATCTCCAGGCAGAGCGTGGAGACACTGAACGGTAGTGGTGCCCCAGGAAGCACCTCCAGTGGCCATCTGAGGAGTGGCCACTTGAAAGTGTCCCCTAGTGGGCAATTTACACACTGTCTTTTTTCTGAAAAGGCAGTGTTTGCATGAAAATGCCTGAAGGCAATGATTATACTCACCAGGACAACTACATTAAGCTGCTGTTGTTCTGGTGACTATAGAGTCCCTTTATACCTCGTTTAAGGGTAGAGGGATGAGCACTGTAGTGTCTTGCAATGTATAGTTCACCCGTCTAGCACTTAATGAGTTAAATCAGGTGGCAGTGGGACAGTACATGTATTGTTCCCAATACTGGAACCCCCTATACTAAACACATTATGCATGAGAACATTGTATCTTCATACATGACATTTAGTATAGGATCACAAAGACTTATTCCCAGGGAAAAGATTGTTGCATGCATTCCAAGACTAAAAGGCAGAGTTAATTAATAAGACAGCTATAGCACAGCCATAAGCAATAAAAAAAGAAGCATTGAATAAGCATTATTTCTCTTGTTTCTGACAAGTTGTTAAGCATTTGCAAACAAAATGCCCCATGGGACAATGACTATCTTGAAATGTCAGATAGCACTTCCTAAGGAAATGAACAATGCATATTTCAATAACTCTTTACACACTATTCCAATTAATTCTGCTTTTCTTTTGCACTTTATTTTACATTTTAATATGCCCTATATACCAATGTAACTGTGATTATATAATAAAAAAGATAAACATAAATATGTACTTTTTTTTGTGTGTTAAAAACACACTTTACCTGTATGCCACTGAAGGCAGAAATCGAGATCAGTGGGTTCTTGATCTCCATGGCCAGACCCAACATTGTAACCTTCATGCGATGGTTAGTGAACCTTGGTAAGGCATAGGCAATCTTCGGCACTCTAGATGTTTTGGACGACACCTCCCATGATGCTTTGCCAGCATTATGGGTGTAAGAACATTATGGGGGATGTAGTCCACATCTGGAGTGCTGAAGGTTGCCTATCCCTGCTCTAGGCACTACCCGTAGTAAATTCATTAATGTAGCTGAACTACTATGGAACCCTAAATTAAGGTTGATGAGCTTCTTTCATGCACATAGGATGAGAT